GGGGGGGAATGATTGGTGAGGTATTAGTTGTGTGGTGTGACTAAAGAGTCAAGGGCCTGTGTAGATAAACAGAGAGGCAGGCTAGGGAGTCTTTACTTTTTGTTGCTTTGGGAAATAGTCATTTCTTGCTTCTAGAGCAGGGGTGGGCAAACTTTTTGGCCCAAGGGCCACATCGGGGTTGCAAAACTGTATGGAGGGCTGGGTAGGGAAGGCTGTGCGTCTCCCAAACAGCCTGGCCCCTGCCCCTTATCTGCCCCCTCCCCTTAATAGGTTGGTTTTCTTTGTGTAGAACAAACCAAATTACAAAACTATGTTATAACATCCACGTTTATCCAACACCCCCCCCCATTTCCCATCCCCTAACTGCCCCTCCCCCAGAACCTCCGCCCCATCGAACTCCCCCCTGTCCCCTGACTGCTCCCCAGGACCCTTTGCCCCTTATCCAACCCCCAGTCCCAGCCCCCTTACCATGCCGCTCAGAGAAGCATGTCTGGCAGCCGTGCTGCCCGGAGCCTGCCACGCTGCCCTGCAGGAGCACGCAGCCCTGCCTCCCAGAGTGCTGCCTGCGTGGCTGCGGGGGAGGGGGGCAGTGGGGACTAGTCTCCCCGGCTGGGAGCTCAGCCTGCGGGCCGTAGTTTGCCCACCTCTGCACTAAAGTCATAGGGCACAGGGCTGACAAGAGTTGGGCATCTTCCATGACAGTCTGGTGTTTACCAGCCTTTTCACACTTATGCTTAGTGCCCTACCAAATTCAAGACCGTGAAAAACGTGTCATGGACTGTGAAATCTGGTCTTTTTTGTATTTTTACCCTATACTATACAGATTTCATGGGGGAGACCAGACCAGTGTTTCTGAAACTGGGGGTCCTGACCCAAAAGGGGTTGGGGGGAGGGGTGTTACAAGGCGTAGGGGGTCAGGGTATGCCACCCTTACTTCTGCACTGCCTTCAGAGCTGGGTGGCCAGAGAGCGGTGGCTGCTGCCCAGGAACCCAGCTCTGAAGGCAGAGCCCTGCCAACAGCAGTGCAGAAGTAAGGGTGGCAATACCATACCATGCCACCCTTACTTCTGCGCTGCTGCCTTCAGAGCTGGGCAGCTGGAGAGTGACGGCTGCTAGCTGAGGGTCAAGCTCTGAAGGCAGCAGTGCAGAAGTAAGGGTAGCAACAACATACCATGCCATCCTTACTTCTGCACGACTGGTGGTGGTAGTGCTGTCTTCAGAGCTGGACTCCTGGCCAGCAGCCGCTGCTCTCTGGCCGCCCAGCAGCGCTGCCACCAGCAGCAGTACTAAGTAAGGGTAGCAATACCAAGATCCTCCCTTATAATAACCTTGTGACCAGCCCACAACCCCCTTTTGGGTCAGGACCCCTACAGTTATAACACTGTGAAATTTCAGATTTAAATATCTAAAATAATGAAATTTACAAATCCTATGACTGTGAAATTGACCAAAATGGTAGGGCTCTATCTATGCTATATAGCCTTTCAGGATCATTATGCATTCAGTCAGGTTTCAGGTATACTGCTGAAGCTTCCCGTGCTGACCATCAGGGGAACCTCTGTCTTGCAGAGACATTGCGGGCAGATTATGTACTTTATTCTTCTGCCTTCTCTGTTTCCCCTGGTGAATCTGTCACTCTTCTACTATGTCAGTAGCATGCTCTGCCAGCAAAGAAAGTGACTGGGCAGGGAAAATTGCCGGGGAACAGAGGCTGAAAGAAGGACACAGAAAACAATGGGAGATGGAAAGGAGACCGAATCAGCCTGCTTCCGTTTTGTAGATAACTTAGCTTTTGCTTGCAAGCTTCCCTTGTTCTATTGTACTGAAATGATGACAGGGAATCTCTGCTGAAGACAAGTGTTACACTCCAGCATAACTATTCGGCTACTTGGAGCCCTTGTGGATGTAAAGCTATGTTCCTCTGCCCTCCCCCCCAACCAGTCTTGCTATGCTATGTAGGCACCTTGTCCCAAACTTGCTACACTTTGTTCGGTGCCTAGTGCTGCCTCTTCCCTGACTGCACGGTGCTTTAGTGATGACCACTACGAGATACCATTTTACTGTCACTTTTCAGAGCAGAACAAAGCCTTATGCTAATATAACTGAATTTTAGATAGCTGAAAATCTAGCTTGGCATAGTCGCTCTCATACTAAAATGCTGTATCTTGCCACAAATTCAGGTTGTATCCCAAGAAAATACCTCACGTTCCAGAAGACCTCCGCAAAAAATGTCTCAGGTGAATTTTTTTTTTTTTTTACAGTAAACATTATAGGTGGGGCTGACAGCAATATTACTTAAGGTTGCCTGATGCATCCCATTATAAGACTTTTTTTTAAGTAGCTTATAAGTTTGCCAGACTTTAACTGTTTGGACTGATATTTTCCATGCCAGCTGTTTGCTTCAGACTGACTTTTTTGAAAAATTCAGCTAAAACAATTGTCATTACTGAGACTTGGGGAAAGAATAAATTATTCTATCAATGTGAAAAATTTCTTGTGATATTTTCTTCAACAGTCTCTAGCGCCACCCTTTCTTTAAAACAGAGACTTGAAATTCGGCAGGGGGCCTTTTTATCACGGGTGTGCCTTTTGTCATCCCTGTGAAAAACTGTTGAAATTTAGCCAAGTTATTAGCCTTTGAAAATTTGCAGTTTGCACATGCTCAATAGAAACTTCTTAGGTTTTAGCAATTAAATTCCAAATATTATTTCCACACTAGGCATGCTCCAAGCTGGGGCTGAGCAGGACTTTCAATGCAGTTGCAGCTATGGGCTGCTGCAGGCTGGGACCCAGCCGGGCACTAGAACGGAGAGTAGGCAGCTGCCTTTTCCTGTAGTTTACCAATGTGATATATGCCATCATGTGCCAGCAATGCCCCTCTGCCATGTACATTGGCCAAACCAGACAGTCACTACGCAAAAGAATAAATGGACACAAATCTGATATCAGGAATCATAACATTCAAAAACCGGTAGGAGAACACTTCAACCTCTCTGGTCACTCAGTAACAGACTTAAAGGTGGCAATTTTGCAACAGAAAAGCTTCAAAAACAGACTCCAACGAGAAACTCCTGAACTTGAATTAATATGCAAACTAGATACCATTAACTTCGGTTTGAATAGAGACTGGGAGTGGCTGGGTCATTACACATATTGAATCTATTCCCCCATGTTAAGTATCCACACACCTTCTTGTCAACTGTCTAAAATGGGCCATCTTGATTATCACTAGAAAAGTTTTTTTTCTCCTGCTGATAATAGCTCATCTTAATTAATTAGCCTCTTTCAGTTGGTATGGCTACTTCCACTTTTTCATGTTCTCTGTATGTATATATCTTCTTACTATATGTTCCATTCTATGCATCTGATGAAGTGGGCTGTAGCCCCCGAAAGCTTATGCTCAAATAAATTTGTTAGTCTCTAAGTGCCACAAGTACTCCTGTTCTTTTTGCGGATACAGACTAACACGGCTGCTACTCTGAAACCTGTAGTTTCAATGACTATCATCCAAGGAAGAGGAGAATGCCTGATCCGAATGCAGAGAGGATAAGAGCCAGACTGAATCAAAATCTGAGGATGGTGGGGCAGTTTTTTGATAGGCCCATTAGCCATATTCTGGGGGTGGGAGATTGGATTGGAGGAGTAAAACATGTAATTGATATAGTAACTACCTTCCTAAAACAAGTTAGAAAATAAATGCAGATAAATTATTTTTTTCTTTTTAAAATCTCACCTCTGTATAACAGCAAGGACACCTGGAAGCATCTTGTGTTGTGCAACTCATGCCTACTCCCCCTCTTAATATTGCCTCTAAACATAGTGTCTTATGAAATTGTTTTCATCCTAGCTATAGTACAATGGTTTCCAGCACTCTCCCATCCTGAGATGGGACATGAGACATTTCATCTCTTAAACAGAACTTTGATTACATTTCATCTCAATTACTGCAGCCTCCCTGCATCACACCTTTTGCTTCTACAGTTAATTCAAAATGTTTGTGGTAGGATCATCTTTCTTCTGCTACTCCTACCATATCTGCCCCCTCATTGATCCTCTTTGTAATGGAATACTAAACTGTATTATACTGTTTGGCCACTAGGTGGCGATGTGTATAAAATACCTTATTTAAAGGAACCTCACTCATAGCTGATAGGGCATTGAAAGATCTTATGGTGTATATAAGCAAGTCCATATCTGGTACACAGGGCCGGCTTTAAGCCGATTCGGCCGATTCCCCGGAATGGGGCCCCGCGCCTAAGAGGGCCCCGCAACGTCCGGGGCTGCCGGCGGAGCGGGAAAAAAAAAAAAAAGTTGCGTCCTGCTTCTCCCCCCTCCCTCCAGCGCTTGCGCCGCCATACAGCTGATCAGCGCAAGCCTGGGAGGGAGGGGTTAGGAGGAGGAATGAGGCGTGCTTGGGGAAGAGGCGGGGCCAGGGCGGGGATTTGGCGAGGGATCCAATGGG